GCAATGACTGGTATATGATAGTTAAGCAATTTGCTGTCAGTTGATGGTAACAGTATGTTAGATAGGAAGTGAATGACGTCAGTAGCGTATAGCCAGGGTTTACAACTGTCATACAACTGACGTAATACAAACAAGACGCATCAAAAGTTTGTGATGTATAAGGGACCGCTCATTATTTATTGTACAGGGGGGGATTGAGGAGAAACTGGGGGGGCCTTTAAATTTTTCAAAACCTAAAAGGGGGGGGCTTTGAAAAAATACAGCGAGACGAAAGAAGGGGGGCTTTGAAAATATTTACCAGTTTGAAAAACAGTAGTTTTAAAAATGTATCAGAAAACAACTTAACAACAAATAACAATGTTTATAGACCTTTAATATTCATAAATGGAAGTCAAATAAAAAGTCTCTTATGTTCATGTAAATAGACAATTCCCATTATAGACTAATTTTAGAACTAGGCAAAGAGATGCAAATCAAGGCTGCATGCGAAAATTGCAAATTATACAAAAGAATACAAACTTTGGAAGGCTATATTTTCTACATATTTTACAACATTTTGCAACCAAACTTTGGAATTTTACTAATTTTAGTATGCCCTTCCCGGGAATATACTTTTTTTGCTAAGATAAAAAATTAGTCTATAATGGGAATGTCTATTGGTCCCCATTACCTATTTTTCTTTCTCTAAAATAAACAGCTAGAGTTTTTGTTTCTCTAAATAAAGATAAAGAGCTAGAGGGGGGGGGGCAAAACTTATGTTCTTGTTTTGCTTGTTGGGGGGGGGGCTTTGAAAATTTTACTTGTCTTAAGAGGGGGGCAACGAAAAAATATTATAACTGTAGAGTTTCTCCTCAGTCTCCCCCTGTACAATAAATAATGAGCAGTCCCTAAGAGATAAATAACACACTCACCAAGATTATCTATAACAAACCAAGTATCCTTTCCGCCACTTATTCGTCGTTTCAAAGTACCATTAAACTTTTCATTTCTGTCGTTTGAAACTTTTATCCATGTCACAACATATCCTCTAATGATCCCACTAGGGTCCCCAGGTTTCTGCCAGGTCAAGTTAAGTTGAGAGGAAGATGCACTCGACAATTTAACATTATCTGGAACACCAGGTTCTATAAAGAAAGGGAGTGTACGCGTTACGAACAAAACTCACGTTGTTTCTCACGTTGAAAAACGCAGAGCTGCACCTATAGGTTAATCATCTAATCGATTTAGCATCGTAAACAATCGGCGGAAAGCGTGACTATTATTGAACATTGTTTCGAATTGGGGGGGGGGGGGGGGGGAGGTAGTCGCGAAATAGTTGTAATTTGCTACTTTAGATAGTGAATTGCGAGTAGTTTTTGACTACTTTTTTAAAACAGTAATTGTAGCTGCAACATGGTATCCAGGCTCTTTCAACCACGCTCTTCGCTGGTGGGAAAGACCCTGGTCACGTGTCTCCCAGAATTTGGGAGATAACAATTGGGACTTACGGGGGGTAGGGAAGGCAAATGTGGCGTTAGAATTGCTACGGAGTCAATCTCGTACCCAGAGCCACTCAACGATGGCTGTGGGTACGAGATTGCTACGGAGTTTAAAACAATACAAGGAGTGTGAATAAAGCAACACAAAGGACTAGCCTCCTCCGCAGGCATCTCACCCGAGGAATCTGAGAGGCCTGCGGAAGAGGCTAACAAAGGACTACCATGAAACGACGTTTTTATTAGCATGTATTTTTCATAAAATACGTCATAACGGTTATTCTAAGGGACTGTTAATAAGGCCTGGCTGGACGTTTGAAATTAAACTCTTTTAAAAACTCACTCAACGACACAGCCTCGGGTTTAGTTTTATATCAACAAGAACAGACAGAATCTTCAGAAAATTGCTCTTGAGTGTTGTTTTCGGGAGAACATTTATTTAACTAGTATCATGATTAGAAATTACTTGATATTTGTGAGCGATTAAATAAGTGCTTTTCGGGTCTATTTTCCAATTTGTGTGGTGTGGTCCATTTTCCAATTTTGTTAAACTGAAACTGTTCATAAATAAGTTCATTAATAAACAGCGTATTTAGCTCGATATTCTGTATAACAAATCCTCCATTTTGGGTATTTATGAGCGTATTCATTTGCAGTCGATTGTTTCCCCAGTGAAACATGATCAATGTTTATATAAAATTGTATATATATTGCATGTGTCCTTGCTTTAGCTGGGTGAAAGTTTTGTACTCTGTTTTAGAATGTCTTTTAAAACTTTTAGCATCATTTAGGTCTCACTCCATATTACGCATTATGTTATAACACAGATAAGGCGAGGAGCGTAGTGGAAAGTGCCTGCATGCGTACGAGGTTGTTGTAGCTGTAGCAAACTACATTTTCTCAGTAGGGAAGTAGTTTACTTTTCAAGCAACAACCGCTATTCGCTACTAATCAGTTTCAAATTTCTCATCACTCGACCAGACGTGAAATAGAATCACGCCAAATCCCACTGCAAGTAGATAATGTTGTTTAGTTTAGCTTTTACATTCTTGACAAGTGGCAGTAGTTGTAGCTGATTACATTTTTTTGAAGTAGCTGTGGGAAACTACATCATTTTGTAGTCAACCCACCCTTGGGAATTTGAAACGTGTAGGACAGACTGTGGAAAAGAGCATCAGAAACTATGGCCACAGAATGAACCATCAACTTATTTAATGTTTCTTTATCCACGTCCTACTTTATAATTGTGACCCTAATTAGTAGGTTATTTTGGTAATTAACTTTATTAATTTACTCTGCCTGACACCAAAAAGATTCCACTTCTAGATTCCGTTAAAGAAAATTGTAGAATTTTAACAGTTAACTGGCCGAACTGTTTGCCTATATGTCTAAACAGCGACGCCCTCCACTACCCACCACACGGTTATATCACCAAGTAAAGCTCGTCAAGAGAAAATGCTGGGTTGTAACAGTAAAGTCTTATTTTGACACGTTAATCTACAATGCCTTCTTATTTGTTATTTTATTCTTTCTATAGCATCAGACGATTTTAACAGCATCAACAGTAACTAATAAGAACAATGTAACTCACTGTCTTCGGCAGTTCTAAATTCTTCAGCAGTTGTATTTTCACCTTCACCAACTTCAGTTGAAGCACTCACTTTGATCTCATACCAGCTGTACTTCTCTGAAATGACATCGAAACAAATATTATAGACATGACGATTAACCTGCATGGGATTTAAAAATACGAGCCGAAAATGGTTGTCTTATATTTCCTTTAGTCTTTACGGACGCGAATGATTTAAAGTGATACGGCAATATATATTTTTATTATTTCATTTGGAAGAATGTAAAATTATATGTAAATCTCTTTTGTCGATTTTGCGTAAATTTATTCATTCTTGAGATATTTGAACAGAAAAAATCACAAATCAGCGAGCTTTCCGCCATCTTGGATTTTGGCGGATATGCATGTGACATCATAAGCAGGGTCACGCAAGAATTTTATCCATAGAGCAATTGGTTATTATGAGCCCAAAATCATATACTTCAGTAACTATTTGAAATAAACTAGGGATCCAAGGATAGTGTGAAGTTTCAAATTTAAAAAGACACTGCAAGAACTATATAGGGTCGCCGACAACCTAGAAAAACTGATGGGTAATCGTTCCATGTTTCGCGCACCAATATAGTAAACGTTATGTAATGGATATTATAGTGTTCTGAAAAGTTCACTAGATACCTCCTTACACATATAACACACCCTAACCCTAACCTCAACCTTAAACCTAACCCTAACCCCTAACCTAACCCCTAACCTTAATACCTAACCCCTAACCCTAACCTATATTGGTGCGCGAAACATGGAATGATAACCAGCTGATGGCTTAAACTACGAAATAAAGAGTTACCAAAGGCATTTCATCTCATTATTTATTGCTTTTAATGCGCTCGGCACACGAGTAGCGTGACGTTTGAAACAAGCCTAACACATCAGAAATATGCCTTGTGAAACTGATGCAATTTATCTATTTATTGTGATGCTACACGCGACAATTCGAAATTTAAATTGTTTCACCAACAACCAAATTTTGCATATTCTAAATTCTCATTTGCATTTGCAGCTGTCGCTAAAAGCATTCCCACGAGGCTACTGCTATGCTAAATTTATCTAGTAAACTATAACTGAAATAGCTGTATAAGATACATATGTTATGAATAATAAGCACTACGTCGTTACATCATTAAGACGCATTTTATCCTCATCCGTTCCGTATTTTATCCGCATATCCGTTCCATGGATCCGCTCCATCCGCTTCCGCATTTTAACCTAATCGTGACATGTTTCACAATAACAAGTCTCATTGACCTTTGACTTTTCCCAGTGTCACGTCTATTTTCAGCTTTTCGCATGTGTTGAATAATGTCACTTTAGATTTCAATAGTTTCACAGTTAAGCAGCGTTTAAAGCATTTTTGACAAGCTTTGATACAGTTCTGTGTACAGAATACTATAGATTGACTCTGGTAAGATCTGGTAGAGTTATCGTTGCACTGAACACGAGTTTGCACCGTTGACAACGGCGTTGTGCTAGACAGTAAACAAAGACAAGGACAAAGGTCCGTGACGGTACACGTTGGCTATATGTACCTCCTTGCTTTTTTCTTCTATTGCATAAAGCTTGTTGGCGAGCCAAGCGATTGGCGATAACACGTTGGCGATAACACATTGGCTATCTCCTCGTCTTTCTTATTCAAATAAGGAGCTCTGGCTCAACTGATTTCTTTAGTCTCGCAACGTCAAACGTTTACCCGCTTCTGTTTAATAGTTGTTTATGCTTTGATCTGATACAGATCTGATGCAATTTTTCGCTCTTTGTACTGAGTGTAGCCACCTATTCTGTGATGTAGCACCTTATACAATCAATGACAATGTATAATGAATACACGGTCTAAATAATATCGACGGTAATGAATAACATCAATTTATATATTGTATTACTATTATTGCGTAGATTTTCAAAGATTTACTCAATATTCACGTCTTGAAAACAACACTGTCTCGCTTCTGCCTACACGTACTATACCTCAGTATAATGAGTATGCCGTGAAAATAATATCGGCACACAATTGAATGGCTAGAATCAAGATTTTTGACTCAATATTTACGTCTGAAATGTTTATACACTTGACTGCACTGTCTAGGCGGTCTAGCTCCTTCCTAGCTCTGTATAATGAATATACCGGCTAAATATTATCGACACTTAATTGAACGTCCGTAATGCATAAGATCAATTTATATATTGCGTAGATTTTCAAAGATTTACTCAATATTCACGACTAAAATCTTTATACATCTGAAAACAACACTGTCACTCCTTCCTAGCATATCGTCACGCCATCGTGATCTACGGCTTGATAGCGCATGCGCATTTGCGCTACTAAAGAAAAAATCGGGTGTTCCGGGGTAAAGATCCTTTACACGACATGAGAAGCGAATGTTCTAAAATTTACAAAAAATTACAATAACGAAAGCGATTCCTCGAAATTTTTGTGAACTTGGCAAAAGGATAACTGAATATGTAAATAAGTTAACTGAAATTGCCTAAATAACTTTCAAAGTACTGACTAAGTACAATACATCACTACGAACATAAATCGTATACACCCCCCGGAAAGTTTACTCTATGACTGATTCGTGTGAATTCGCCAGCCATCACAATAGTGTGAAGTGAAACTTCACACTAAAAACTGTCTGACGACTTTTCAAACAAGACTTAATGTTATTTGGTCATTTAGATGTAGTTTTATATGGCTAACCCTGCTTATGACGTCACTAAAATCACCGATAATGAGATAAAAATTAATCCAAGATGGCGGACAGCAAATTATTTTAAGTCGAAATATTTCAAGAAATAATAAAGTTACGCAAAATCGGTAAAGGAGATTAACATATAATTTTAAAAGTTCTTTAAAATGAAATAATAAAAAAATATATTGCCGTATCCCTTTAAGTTAAATTAACGTTCTTATAAAATGTTAACTTTCATACGAATGTTCATGTTTATCAACTGACTGAAAGGTAGCTATAAACTATAAGAAAATCGAACGAAAACGTTTAGGCAAAATATAGACGAAATCTATTCGAAATAGGAATCGAAACCAATGCATATTTATTCTGTAATTTTATAACGAAGATTATCTTAAAAGCTAATTAAGCCAGAAACCTTGATCTGGGCCCAGCTGTTAAATTCAAAAGTCGGTTAGCTTAACCCCATGGGTTGACGTGAAATTCGAAGCATATACATATACTTCCCATCAGTTTGTTTATAAACATGAAAATATATTTTCAGAAATCTTGTCTGGATCATCAGAAGTTTAATTTTCTAAGATGTTCAAATAAACAGACGTACAGATATACATAAATCAAAGCAATGGGTTAAATTTAACCCACGCGGTTAGCGCTAATCGTGCTTTGACCAACCAGCCCCTGAAGTTCTATGACCTATAATCATTTATAAAATATTTTGATAAAACTCACCAAGGTCACGCAGGGTCACATTGGTTTGTGTCGTCATTACATTTATGGACATCCACTTCTTTTCTGCCACTTTGACATCATTATCATCCCGTACAAGTTTATAATAAACTGTATATCGTGTTAGAACTCCATTAAACTTTTCTGGTTCATCCCATGTTATGTTGAGCCGAGTAGAACTATCATTGGAAGCAAGAACATTAAGTGGCGCACTCGGTGCTAGAAGGAAAGAAATTAAATTTGAGTAACACTGTAGCCTACTATATACGTATATTGATACCACGCAACATTTACCAATAATATTTATAACAATTATTAGCCGAAGGCGAGGTGATTATTGGGGAATATACACAAGTCTTTTGTGTTTTTGGGACTGAGTTTTACAAAAGTCTTTTGTGTTTTTGGGACTGAATTTATTTTAATGTCGCTTATTTTATCAGTAACTTCCGCAAAACCGCCATTTTGCAAATTTCGGTTTTGTTATATTCACCTGTAGGTGAGTATAACAGCTTAATACGTCAATATTCGCTTGTGCAAAAATACTAATATATCTTATGAAAGGCAAACGATAAAAGAGCAATGTGAATACACTTTCTATGGGTATAAAATTTTGGTAGGACTTTATTCTTAGCACGGTAGCTAAAATTAAAACTGATAGGCCGAAAATATTTCTAGCATGACCAACTGACAATTGAACGTTATAGACCCCGTTTACATGAGACCGGGACGAAGTCAAACCGAATTGAAAATTGAAATTGTCAACATGTTTACATGAGACCAGTACGAAAATCACAAAATTTTCAATTTATTCCCCTTGCCAGGCAATTTTCTTTTTTGTATGGCTTTTGTTAGCATGTGTTGTTCCAATAGTTACAGCCGAGACAGGTCTGAAATGTATTTGTTTACATTCATCCCACTCTGAATTCATGCCGGCCTGAAGTCAGTCGGGTCGGTCCAGCAGGCGGAATGACTGAGATCGGTCTGAGTTATTTTCATCCCGGTCTCATGTAAACATCTATTATAGATAATACTATGACAGAAACGAAATGGTCCCGGTTTGACTTCGTTCCGGTCTCATGTAAACGGGGGGCCTAAAACAAAAAAGTTTAACAATTACCAAAAAAGTCGTTGATTTATATTTTATTCCATTTGTACAATAAATTTAAAGAAACAATACAAATATCTACAGCGGGCAACAACAGGCACACAAATTAAAACCTATTAGAGACTGCGTGAATCTAACGAATTCCGTAAAAACTACAGTACACATACTTGATTGATTGGTTCGAGCTGTGAGAGTAACTACTGTACCATTTCCAATAATTGTCATGGCATTCAAAGATACGCTGTACACCGAATAAGGTTCTGAAAAGATAAATCAATAGTTATACACGCGGTATATAAAACTACTGTACGTACAAAATGTGGGGTTCTTATATATGGAACGTTTTGACCATTCTACCGGGGAGCACGAATTTTAGAGCGAGGATTCCAGTTTTTTCGTATCATAAAAATTGCTTATATTGCACTTCCAATATGGTCTCATATATAAAGACATATGTATCATTGCAAAATTATTTTCATACGAGCAGTTTTCTCTAAACGTCAATCTTATATGGTCTCTTTAATAATTTTGTTTGTACCAACAGCATTTATATATACGAGGGATCCAAGGATAGTGTGAAGTTTCAAATTGAAGAAGACACTGCAAGAACTGTATAGGGTCGCCGACAACCTAGAAAAGCTGATGGCTTACACTACGAAATAAACAGCTACCAAAGGCATTACCTATTGTTTTTAATGCGTTCGGCACACGAGTAGCGCGACGTTTGAAACAAGCCTAACACATCAAACGTCGTGCCTCGTGGAACTGATACAATTTATTTATTTATTGTGATGCTACACGCGACAACTCGAAATTTAAATTGTTTCACCAACAACCAAATTTTGCATATTCTAAAACTTCATTTGCATTTGCAGCTGTCGCTAAAAGCATCCCCACGAGGCTACTGATATGCTACCCTGGTTCCAGAGGCTCTTTGCGAGGCAAAATAAACAAGAGGTGAGAAGGAAGAGCCTCTGGTCACATCGGTTGCAAATCCCACTTCCACACTTGATTAGGTTCAGAATTTGAATCTCGCATGTGATTGGCCATTTGTAAAAAGTACGTCAAACCGGTTTGGGAAATAAACATTACTGTAAGCTAATTATAACTATTATAGCTATAATTTCATCATTTTATCCCCATCCGTTGCGTATTTTATTCCCATATCCGTTCCGTGGACCGCTCCGTCCGCTTCTGCATTTTAACCTAATTGTGACATGTTTCACAATAACAAGTCTCATTGACCTTATTATTCTCAGTGTCATGTCTCATTTTCAACTTTTCGCATATATTCAATAATGTCACTTTAGATTTCAATAGTTTCACAGTTATGGGAGTGTTTATAGCAGTTTTGACAAGCTTTGATACAGATAGACTCTCGTAAGATCTGGTAAAGTTATCGTTGCACTGAACACGAGTTTGCACCGTTGTGCTAGACAGTAAACAAGGTCCGTGACGGTACGCGTTGGCTACCTCATTGCCTTTTTCTTCTATTGCATAAAGTTTGTTGGCGAGCCAAGCGATTGGCGATAACACGTTAGTTATCTCCTCGTCTTTCTCGTTTAAATAAAGAGCTCAGACTGAACTGAAGTTATTTTCTTCGTGAACGCCATACAATCACCCGCTTCTGTTTAATAGTTGTTTACGCTCTGCCTATGTTGATCTGATGCAATTTTTCGATCGGCACTTAATTAGGGGAGGCGAAAATCCAGGGACACCGGTAATGCATAACATCAATTTATAGGCCTATATTGCGTAGAATCTCAAAGATTTTCTCAATATTCATGTCTGAAATGTTTACATATTTGAAAACAACACTGTCTCGCTCCTTCCTAGGCTAGCTCTGTATTTTGAATATACCGTCTAAATAATATCGGCACTTAATTGAATGCCCGTAATGCATAACATCAATTTATATAATCGCGCTGCGAGAGTTATAACCAGGTCTACCTTTGATATTCGATCTGTTGATGTGCTGAATATGTTAGGTTGGGAATCCTTAGACCAGAGACGCAACTATACAAAATCTATTTACATGTATAAAATAATTAATGACCATGCCGCCCCAAATTTAAAACAACTATTTCGACGATGCAGTGAAGGCGATTCCCCTTATGATGTTAGGAATCGTGAAACTGATCTAGTATTACCAAAACCAAAGAAAGAATTTCTTAAAAGAAGTTTTAAATACAATGGAGCTATCCATTGGAATAATCTGTCTATTGAAGCAAAAAGCGCTGATTCCGTTTATTCATTCAAGAGAATTATAAAATCTACGGCGAGGTGAAGCTGATCTGTCCTCAATAATATTTATTTGTTTCGTTTATATATTGTTGTCTACCTGTTAGTCTTTGTATGCTTCATGTAACTTTATTTTGTATATATTATTTGTGTAATTAGTTAGTTAACACGCCCCGCATGAAAAACAGCTGATGTTGATGAGGCTAGCGTGTCAAAATAAAGTATTTTGTATGTATGTATGTATGTATATATTCGGTAGATTCTCCAAGATTTACTCAATATTCACGTCTGAAATGTTTAATATACATTTGAAAACAATACATCGCGATCTACGGCTTGATAGCGCATGCGCATTTGCGCTGCTAAAGAAAAAGATCGGGTGTTCCGGGGTAAAGATCCTTTACACAACATGAGAAGCGAATGTTATAAAATTTACAAAAAATTACAATAACGATAACGATTCCTCGAAATTTTTGTGAACTTGGCAAAAGCATAAAAGAATAATTAAATAAGACAACCGAAATTGCCTAAATATCCTTCAAAGCAGTGACTAAGTACAATAAATCACTACGAACATAAATGTACCCCCCCCCGGAAAGTTTACTGCATGACTGACGAATGAATGAATTTTCGCCACTCATCAAACTCACCTGCAACACCATGCTTACCTAATTTTTCTATCCGAAACGATACTATACTTCCATTATTTATGATTTCAGTCTTTGAAACACTGTTAGGAACAGACATATTCTTGTCATCTCTCAGAATGCTCCAGACAATCCTGTATCCGATAATAACCCCGTTAGGGTCAGGTGGTGACGTCCAGGTTAGATAGAGTTCTGTTGATGAAATACGTTCCAGTTGAAAGCTTCCAGGCTTACCAGGTGCTATGGGAGAAACACAAAAAGACAATTACTTACTTAGTCTACTTGTACAAATAAAATAGAAATCGTTCAGGATATCTGCATTCATGTATTTCCAGCCCAACAGCTTTTGAAGCAGTCCCCTGAGAAGCATTTGCACCGAATTGTGCGAAAATTTCCAAAAGAAAATCTAGCTAACTATAACAAGAAAAATATATACTTTGCTTGAAACTCCGAGCCCAAGCTTCCATACTATTCGGACCATATTTCATGTTGCAATGAAACGTTTTTTTTACCCTTTCAACTTATTGTAAAGTTTAACAACTAACAATTTGTTGATTATATTTTATTCCATTTTAAAAATAGATTTGAAGAAACAATACAAATATCTACCGCGGGCCACAACAGGCACAAAAAAATTTATTCCTCAGCATTCACATGAGAAAAAACACATAGACCAAAACTTACAAAAGTTTCCTGTGGTATAACATAACGATCCATCTCCAGACCCGCCCAGGAAAACTTTTCAATTTCATACCAACAATCAATTTTGAACTGCATTACATAGTTTTCCTTTTCAGTCCTCCGAAACCGTTCCCAAAACCTTACATCCAAACGATATCCAAGAACCGTATTAATATATCTTCACTATACTCTAGATGATATACTCTATAGTTTACAACCTACTCTCCGCAGACATCACTGCCGCTGATGATACCGCATTAACACACCCATGCAGTTAGTAATCAGAGACTGCATCTATGAGTCTAACGAATTAAAAACATTCCATTAAAACTACAGTACACATACTTGATTGGCTGGTTCGAGCTGTGGGAGTAACTACGGTACCATTTCCAATACTTGTCATGGCATTTAAAGATACGCTGTACACCGAATAAGGTTCTGAAAAGATAAATCAGTTATACACGTGCATGGTATATAAAACTGAATATATACATACAAAATGTGAGGCTCTTATCGAACGTTTTGACCTTTCTACCGGAGAGCATGAATTTTACAGCGAGGATTTCAATTTTTTTTCTTATCATAAAAATTGCTTATTGCACTTTCAATATGATCTCATATATAAAAACATATATATCATTGGAAAATTATTTTTGCACTATAGCAGTTTTCTGTAAACATCAATCTTAGGGTTTCTTTAAAAATTTTGCTTGTACCAACGGTATTTACAAGATGATATAAAAAAGTATTGCAAAGTCACCTGCACCACCATGCTTACCTAATTTGTCTATCCCAAACGATACTGCATTTCCATTATTTATGATTTCAGTCTTTGAAACACTGTTAGAAACAGACATATTTCTGTCATCTCTCAGAATGCTCCAGACAATCCTGTATCCGATAATAACCCCGTTAGGGTCAGATGGTGAAGTCCAAGTTAGATCGAGTTCTGTTGATGAAATACGTTCCAGCTGAACGCTTCCAGGCTTACCAGGTGCTATGGAGAAACACAAAAAGACAATTATTTACTTAGTCTACTTGCACAAATAAAAGGGAAGTTGTTCAGGATATCTGTATTCATGTATTTCTAGCCAAATACAGTTTTTCCTGATCCAATCCCCTGGTCCAATTCTTGGTCGAATTGTGTGAAAATTTTCAGAAGAAAATTTAGTAACTATAACAAGAGAAAAATACTTAGATTGAAACAAATTCCGAGCACAAATAAAAAAATATTATGCTTCTACTATTCGGAGCATGTTTCATGCACAAATAAAAGGGAAGTTGTTCAGGATATCTGTATTCACTGAATTTCTAGCCTAATACAGTGAATTTTGAAATCAGAAATCACTAAAACTTCGTTATTATTGAGCCCACAGTCTTATATGACAGCGATAACTCACAGAAATCAGGTTAGAAATCAGGAAATCAGGTCAAATCACGTTAGAAATCAAGAAATCGCATTATAAATCAACAGAAATCCGTTTAGAAATCAACAGAAATCAGATTAGAAATCAGGTTAGAAATCACGTGATTTCGAAATCTCGTACCCCTCGATGAATCTAACGAATTAAAAACATTACATTAAAACTAGAGTACACATACTTGATTGATTGGTTCGTGCTGTGAGAGTAACTACAGTCCCATTTCCAATACTTGTCATGGCATTTAAAGATACGTTGTACACCGAATAAGGTTCTGAAAGATAAATAAGTTGTACACGCGGTATATAAAACTGCATGTGGGGCTCTTATCGAACGTTTTGACCTTTCTATCGGAGAACATGAATTTTACAGCGAGGATTCCTGCTGTTTTCTTGTCAATAAAATTGCCTATTGCACTTCCAATATGATCTCAGATATAAAAACATATGTATCATTGCAAAGTTATTCTCATACTATAGCAGTTTTCTGTAAACGTCAATCTTAGGGTCTCTTTAAAAATTTTGCTTGTATCAACGGCAATTACAAGATGATATAAAAAAGTATTGCAAAGTCACCTGCACCACCATGCTTACAGTACCTAATTTGTCTATCCGAAACGATACTGCACTTCCATTATTTTTGATTTCAGTCTTTGAAACACTGTTAGAAACAGACATATTCTTGTCATCTCTCACAATGCTCCAGACAATCCTGTATCCGGTAATAACCCCGTTAGGGTCAGATGGTGACGTCCAGGTTAGACCGAGTTCTGTTGATGAAATAGGTTCCAGCTGAACGCTTCGAGGCTTACCAGGTGCTATGGAGAAACACAAAAAGACAATTACTTACTTAAAGGACAATGGCAATGAAAATTTTTATTGGCTATTTCAATCCTACTTGAAGACCAAACTAGAAAATATTATCATTTCCTTCTCGAACATTTTAGTCTACGAGTAAAATGCATGCAAACTTTGTGTTTCGCCGTCATCTTGGAACATTTTTTTGAAAAATCATCTCGAAGGTCAATGAACTTTGTGACGTCATTGGATGGGTAGTCATGAGATTGTGTTTACCCAGCCAATGACGTCAGATAATGCATTTTGTGGCATAAATTAGCATACGCGCTTATTTTCAAAATGGCGGACAACTGTTGAACTTTTTGTCAAATTTTCTCAACAACTAAACGCGACCAACCGCCCAAAATATGAAATTGAATATTCCGTAAGTATACCTAATAGATATAAGTAATAAAAATTTTGGTTGCCAGTAGTTGCCAATTAATCTACTTGTACAAATAAAAGGGAAATCGTTCAGCATATTTGTATTCATGTATTTCTAGCCCAATAGGCCTACAGTTTTTGAAGCAATCCCCTCAGAAGCATCTGGAGAACGAATTCTGTGATATAATACTTATTGAACAAGTCACATGTTATTAGCACTGATGAAGATCCGGGTTTGCGGATCGAAAACTTTGCAGTAATAAATTTACATGGTGTTTCCAAAAACAAAAAGTATTATAAGAGAAAAATACTTTGATTGAAACTCCAAGCACAAGCTTCTACTATTCGGAGTATGTTTCATGATGCGACGAAACGTCACGAGCGTTTTTCACCCTTTAAACTTATCGTAAAGTTTGACAAATAACTTGTTGATTAAATTTTATTCCATTTGTATACAATAAATTTAAAGAAAGAATATCGAATTTGTCTATCGCGGGGCACAACAGACCTAAATTCCTCAGCATTCACCTGAAAAAAAACACATCGACCAAAACTTACAAATATTTCCAGTGGTATAGTAACGATTCATTCCCAGACCCGCCCAGGCAAACCTTTCAATTTCATATCAACAATTAATTCTGAAATGCATTGGCCAGTTTTCCTTTTCAGTCCTCTGATACCGTTCCCAAAACCTTACATACATCCAAACGATATTCAAGAACCTTATCAATATATCTTCACTATACTCTAGATGATATACTCTATAGTTTACAAACTATTCTCCGCAGACATCACTGTCGCTGATGATACCGCATTAGCACACCCAGGTAAGAATCAGAGCCTACATGAATCGAACGAATTAAAAACATTACACTAAAACTGCAGTACACATACTTGATTGGTTGGTTCGAGCTGTGAAAGTAACTACTGTACCATTTCCAATACTTGTCATGGCATTCAAAGATACGCTGTACACCGAATAAGGTTCTGAAAAGATAAATGAGTTATACACGCGGTATATAAAACTGCATATATACATACAAAGTGTGAGGTTCTTATCGAACGTTTTACAGCGAGGATTTCAGTTTTTTTCTTATCATAAAAATTGCTTATTGCACTTCCAATATGATCTCATACATAAAAACGTATGTATCATTGTAAAATTATTTTCATACCAGCAGTTTTCTCTAAATGTGGGTCTCTTTAATAATTTTGCTTGTACCAACGGCATTTACAAGATGATATAAAAAAGTATTGCAAAGTCACCTGCATCACCAAGCTTACCTAATTTGTCTATCCGAAACGATACTGTACTTCCATTATTTATGATTTCAGTCTTTGAAACACTGTTAGAAACAGACATATTCTTGTCATCTCTCAAAATGCTCCAGACAATCCTGTATCCGATAATAACCCCGTTAGGGTCAGATGGTGACGTCCAGGTTAGATAGAGTTCTGTTGATGAAATACGTTCCAGCTGAACGTTTCCAGGCTTACCAGGTGCTATGGAGAAACACAAAAAGACAATTACTTACTTAGTCTACTTGTACAAATAAAAGGGAAATCGTTTGGGATATCCGTGCATTCATGTATTTCTAGCCTAATACAGTTTTTTGAAGCAATTCCCTCAGAAGCATTTGGAGAACGAATTGTGTGAAAATTTCCAGAAGAAAATTTAGCTAACTATAACAAAATTGAAACAAACTTCGAGCACAAATAAAAAAATATTAAGCTTCTACTATATTCGGAGCATGTTTCATCTTGCAATGAAACGTCACGAACGTTTATCACCCGTTAAACGTATCGTAAAGTTTAAGACCAAACAAGTTCTTGATTATATTTTATTCCATTTGTATACAATAAAATTTAAAGAAACAATACAAATATCTACTGCGGGGCAAAACAGGCACACAAAACCTAAATTCCTCAGCATTCACCTGAAAAAAAAATCGACCAAAACGAAAAAGATTCCTGTCGTAGGCTATAACTTAACGATCCATCCCAAGATTCGCCCAGGTCGAAACTTCTCAATTTCGTATTAACAATCAATTTTGAAGTGCATTGCCTACTTTTCCTTTTCAGTCCTCTGATACCATTCCCAAAACCATATATCCAAACAATATTCAAGAACTTCATGAATACATCTTCACTATACTCTAGAGTCTAGATTGTACTCTAGTTTACACTTTACAACCTATTCTCCGCAGACATCACTGTCGCTGATGATACCGTATTAATTAACACACCCAGTTAGGAATTAGAGACTGCATGCATGAATCTAACGAATTGAAATTAAAACTACAGTACACATACATGATTGGTTGGTTCGGGCTGTGAGAGTAACTGCTGTACCATTTCCAATACTTGTCATGCCATTTAAAGATACCCTGTACACCGAATAAGGTTCTGAAAAGATAAATTAGTTATACACGCGGAATACAAAACTAAAATGTGGGGCTCTTATCGAATGTTTTAACCCTTCTACCGGAAAGCATGAATTTTAGAGCGAGGATTCCAGTTTTTTTCTTATCATGAAAATTGCTTATTGCATTTCCAATATGGTCTCATGATAAAAACATATGTATATCATTGCAAAATTATTCTCATACTAGCAGTTTTCTGTTAAACGTCAACCTTAGGGTCTCTTTAATAATTTTGCTTGTACCAACGGCATTTACAAGATGATATAAAAAAGTATTGCAAAGTCACCTGCACCACCATGCTTACCTAATTTGTCTATCCCAAACGATACTGTACTTCCATTATTTATGATTTCAGTCTTTGAAACACTGTTAGGAACAGACATGTTCTTGTCATCTCTCAGAATGCTCCAGACAATCCTGTATCCGATAATAACCCCGTTAGGGTCAGATGGTGACGTCCAGGTTAGATAGAGTTCTGTTGATGAAATACGTTCCAGCTGAACGTTTCCAGGCTTACCAGGTGCTATGGAGAAACACAAAAAGACAATTATTTACTTTATAGTCCATATACTTGTACAAATAAAAGGGAAATTGTTCAGGATATCTGCATTCATGTATTTCTAGGTCAATACAATTTTTGAAGCAACCTCTCAGAAGCATCTGGAGAACAAATTGTGTGAACATTTCCAATAGAAAATTTAGTTAACTATAACAAGAAAAAAATACTTCGATTGAAACTCCGAGCACAAGCTTCTATACTATTCGGAGTATGTTTCATGTTGCAATGAAACGTCGCGAGCGTTTATCATCCTTTAAACTTATTGTAAAGTTTAAGAACTAACAAGTTGTTGATTATACTTTATTCCATTTGTACAATAAATTTAAAGAAACAATACAAATATCTACAGCGGGTCACAACAGGCACAAAAAATTATTACTCAGCATTCACCTGAGAAAAAACGCAACGACCAAAACTTACGAAAGTTTCCTGTGGTATAACTTAACGATCCATTTCCAGACCCACCAGCTAGGAAAACTTTTCAATTTCATACCAACAATCAATTTTGAACTGCATTACATAGTTTTCCTTTTCAGTCCTCCGATACCGTTCCCAAAACCTTACATCCAAACGATATGCAAGAACCTTATCAATATATTGCGAACGAGCGCAGCGAGTGAATAAAATATTGCTTTTTAACACGAGAAGATAACAGTCATATCTTCAAGCCACCGTGTAATGTTCTGTTCATTATATATAGTCCCAAGCAAAACAAATGTATATTAAAATACTAAAAGTCACGTGATCGATATCTTCACTAGTTCATGCAGTATCTCACTCTCTACTATATAATAATCTAGATGATATACTCTATAGTTTACAACCTATTTGTAGTGATGTCATAGACTTGAGTGACAGATATAGTCATGTGACCTGAGAGCACATAAAATCATTACTGATTAGTATTTGTAGCGTGCAGTTGATATCAGAAATAAACTATGTAAAAGAGAATACACATTTATATTGGCGACGAGGATATAAAGTGAGCAATATGGCAGATGAAGAAACGCCACAGCCGGCACAACAAGCTGTACAAGTTGTACAAATGGCACAATCGGTCACAATACAGCCTATGCCTGAATTTCGTCCCGATGCCAAAGTACGAGCAAGCCTCGCTACTAGATGGAATAACTGGCAAGCAGATTTTGAAATGTTCATTATAGCCAGTGGGATCACTGACGCTAAACGTAAACGAGCGCTGTTATTATATCAAGCAGGACCTCGTGTGAGAGAAATATTTAAACAATTAGAGGACACGGGTAACGATGATAATTATGAAGTCGCCAAAGCTAAACTAAAGGAATACTTCGATCCACAGAAAAACAGACGATATGAAGTGTATCGTTTTCGCCAAGCTATGCAAAAACCTGATGAGACCCTTGATGAATATCACACGCGATTACGGACAATGGCTGCAACTTGCGAATTCAACGACGTAGAGTTCGAAATCGAACAACAAATTATCATTGGCGGCATATCCTCAAAGATTCGTAAACATGCGTTGCGAGACCCGAAATTCGACTGGAAAGGCATGTTATTAGAAGGGCGAAGAGATGAGCAAAGTTCCTATCAGATTAAGCCATTAAGGACATTGAGTCAAAAGAGCCAACCGATGTATATACAAACAAACTCGACGGGAAATCAGAGAAAACCGAAGCGAAAACATGTCGCTATTGCGGGCGTGAATATCCGCACGTAGGACAATGCCCTGCGAAGGGTCAGACATGCCATATTTGTGGCAAAGTAAATCATTTTGCTAGGGTATGCAAAAGTAAGCCGAAAGCACCGAAACAGAATACTAGAAAACAACACAAAGGTCGGGGAAAAGCTCTAAATCCTTTAAACCACGACGAAACGGACAATTCTGATGAGGATTATTTATATATAGTAAACAAAGATCACGCAAATACCGCTAAAGTCAAGGTCAAAGTGGGCGGAGCGTCTTTTATGATGACACTTGATACGGGGGCAACAATTAATGTCATCGATGAACAAACATTTTCGAAAATGGACGGTGTTAAGTTAAAGCAGACAAATACTAAAGCATTTCCGTATAATACAACACAACCTGTCAAATTCCTTGGAAACTTCGAGGCGGTTGTGGAAACACGCAAGCGGTTATCTGTGGCCATGTTCTATGTAGTAAAAGGCCAAAATAGTGGAAATCTTTTGTCTCTGGCTACAGCTCAAGACCTTGGACTTATAACTTTACATCTAAATCATGTCACAACGAAAGATGACAACCTGGACAAAATCCTTGGAAAACATACTAAAGTATTTCATGGACTGGGCAAATTAAAAGGTGAGACAGTAAAATTAGACATAGATAAAGACCAAATACCAAAAGCCCAACCTCAACGTCGAATTCCTTATCACATTCGTAAACAGGTAGAAGACGCCTTAAAAGCACTTGAGAAGGAAGACGTAATTGAAAGGGTGTCTGAGAATGAGGCAACACCATGGGTATCACCCATAGTCGTAGTTCCTAAGAAAGATGGGGGAGTCAGAATATGCGGAGATATGCGGTAAGCGAATGAAGCCATACGCCGGGTACGACACCCCATTCCTACCGTGAACGATGTTAGTTTTGCACTCAACGGGGCACAATATTTCACTAAACTTGATCTATCTCAAGCTTACCATCAACTAGTGCTAGATCAAGAAAGCAGATTTATTACTACGTTCAGTACTCATGTAGGATTATATCGTTACAAGCGTTTGAACTATGGGACTAATGCGTCCGCTGAGATCTTTCAACATGTCCTTCAAACAAAGCTACAGGGACTAAATGGAGTAAAAAATATCGCAGACGATATAACCGTGTTTGGAAAAAT